GTGCTACAAAAAACAAGAAAAAAAATTTGGGTGGATGTATAAACCTCTCATTCATGCAAAAAAAAATAAAACGTCACAGCGTGACCAAAATTTTCTCATTATTTTTTAGTTTTTAGATCAACACCGCAATTCAGCTAATATGGATGAACTGAATTATTGACTTGGCATTAAACAAAAAGTTTAGACATTAATTTTACAAATTTATAGCTAAAAAATATTTTTAAAATTAAATTTCAAACAGATGCGCCTTTAATGAACTAGTGGTAAACGTTACAGCGTGACCAGACACATTTGGGTAATTATAAACCAGTTAAAGGGGCTGTTTTGAACAAATTTAAAACTTAGTAGAGATATTAGACAAATATATAATTACATCTTCATAAAAATAGTTCCTACATATAATAATTTTGAGAACACGCCCATAATATATTAGTGTCAAATTGTGTCCATATTATATTGCTGTCATATATACAACATTTTAAACTTTTTCGGTGATTTTGTCTGAAGATGTAAGTTGTTTCACTAAATACTTGGCACTTGAATATGGTCGCATTTCTATTTTCCCATTATTGTTTTGAATTAGCTGAGCTGCAAATATTTCTGGTTTTGATGGTGCTTTTGTAAATATCTCATCAATTTTGGATTTTTTTACTGTATTTATTACATCTTCCATAGAAACAAAATAGACATTGAAATTAGTCTCATTTTTAACAGCTTCATGAAAAGTTATGGCATCAGTTATTATAAATTTTCTCTGGATTATTTTTTGCGTTGCTATTCTTTTAACGGTCCCACCAATAGCAACCAGGGTATTGCTGATTGAATCAAACGATTTTTGTATTGATTACTTGGCCTGTCTGTCTAAACCTGTAATATTTTAACACTTGATTTAATATGGTTAGAAAACAAAGTATGAAAAAATACAAGAATAGATTTTTTCGAGTGGCTTAAATCATCTGAAACTATGACAGCTGATGAGCATGAATTTTAGTACCAAAATACAGCAATAAACACATTAATTTGACTCTTGTGCCAATGTGCGGACTGCACTTCATCTTGCCACAAAGTTGAAAAATTTTCAGCAAAATCTACTTGAAGAACAGCTGTGTCTGGATACCAGACACAGCTGTTCTTCAAGTACCAAAGAAATGAAGGTAAAGATTTTGAAAAGGTGCTGTAAAGATCATCAACTCTTCCCTTTTTTTTAATTTTTTTAATATATTCTTTTCTATTACCTTCTGCAACTTTTTCCCATTGGTACCATGAAATGTGTTTATTCTTTTCAATTTCATTCAAAACATATAGATTATGAAACTTTGCAGCATCTTTACGTTGTACACATATTATTATAACAAATTTCTTTCTCACTATCACATACAATGCTAAGAGGAAATTCATGTGAATACAATGGAAAATTTGAATCAAACTTGTGCAGGGCTTCAAGGATAAGGATTATATTTTGATGTCATTGACAACAACAAACGTTTCTTGACATTGAACTAGACAAAAGCACATGTGGTGGGCGTAAACTAGCAAACTTTGATTTTCCAACTGATTCTTCAGGATAATCACCTTTAAAAATAGCATAAGCTTCATTAACATTTATTTACAAATGACGTTTTTGCACAGTTTCTTTCTTGTTCTTTAATCTCACCACAATGGTGTCTCTTTTACCGGGTGCATCATGCTGATAAAAATCAAGAACCAATTTTACAGTTAAAGCATCTAATGCATTTTCACTGGGTATTTTTTCTGGGCTAGGGATTTCATTTATTTTTGCTAAAAGTTTTTGCACAACTTTAGCCTTTTTTCTGGGTGATTTTGGTAGTGCTGACTCGGCTCTTTTAACAGCTTTTCAGATTTGTATGGGGGTGATGTAACAACTACAGATTTTGATTCTGCTTATTTTTGTCTGCTCTTTCTCTTTTGTAGTTTTTCTTTTTGTTTCTTTTTCTCGTTAATACTCCAATTTAGCAAGTCTTCTTTTTTTTCTCCTTTTCGATTCTTTTTCTTTAACTACTTTTTCGCCAAATTTTTTTAACTGACTGTCACGATATTTCTTTTGACATTCAGCATGAGTAAGAGGCATGTTAAAACCTTGAAAGATTAAAAACAATTAAGAGTAACACAGTAGTTATGGAGATGCATGTATTACATCTAAGGCTCAATCGAGTTACAACTATCCCTTAGAGAGACTATGAATACAAAAAGAGAGCCTCAAGGATAGCTGAGCATTCATCCTCCAAGTGTTGCCTATGCAAAAAATACCTATATTTTGTAGCTTTTGTAGAAAACGTCAAAGAAAGTATGTTGCTCAATAATCTGGGCCATTGAAGTTGATAAAAACTCAATTGTGGTTTCAGTTTAGCAATTTTAAATATTGTTTTAAATTTTATCACGCCATGACATCATGGCGTGACATAAAAAGATTCTAAAACTAACATAATTATTTTTTTAAACATGTTAGAATTTTTTTAGATGTACATGATAGATTTCTCATTGCGTTGGAATTTTGAAATCCTAAGTTTTACTGGTTGTCCTAAAAATAAAACTATTGGTACCCTAATTGTCACAGCGTGACAATAGTGGTAATAGCATTTGATGAAAATAAATGGTTTTCTGGATTCGCCTAGCAAAAAACATGTTTTTATCATAAGTAGCAATGATTAGTGCAGCTAAAAACCTAATTGCAATGAGCAAGACAGTTTTTAAATTTTTTATAGGTTTAATTGAACTTTGACGGTTAAAAATGAATTAAATTATCGCAAAAACGCCTATTTTTACATTCTGTTTCAGCCCATATTATTTTTTATAATAGCGGCATACTATAACAAGCTATATATTTTCTGAAAAAGGAGACTTAGGGCTTTCTACTGATATATAGCATTATGTATATTGACTTGTTTTAATTTTTTCATTTATTGTGAGACGGTCGTGGAATTGCTCTTTGGTAAATTTTTTTTTTATGTTCAATTAAAATAAAGTAGTTCACAAATTTGACATTACGCTTTTAAAATAAGTGCCTTCCGAAATATCTGATTTCAAAAACCTTTTTCTTTGTTTTGCTTTATCTTGTATATAAAGTAACTTATATTCTAATCTTATCTTATATATTTTTACAATGTGATTCTTATCTTATATATTCTTACAATGTGTTTTTATATTATCATATTCTTATATTATCATATATTCTTACAATTTGTTTTTATATATGGTATTTTGCTGGAGGTTGGTACACATAAAGTGATTTTTTGAACTTTTAATAAAAATAAAATAAAATTTTTTCTTCAAAAAAAGATTCAATAACTTTTGTTATTGTTAAAGTAGAAATACACCAATACAAAAAAGTTTGAAAATTTAAAAGTCAATTTTAAAAAGAATCTTTTGTAAATTTTGATTGAATTATTTTGATTGTATATTTAATATTACTTTTTTACAACTAAAACAAAAATATCTTTATTCCTTATTTTCTTGGAATTTAAACTCCTTTGTGTGACTATCTATACATGAAATCCATTTTCCAATAACTTATAAACATTTTGGCAAAAAAAATACTTATGAGTATACAAGTTTTAGTATCAGCTGATGAAAGGTTTCAAACTAAAGTTGACTTTTTGGAACTTTTTAACTTATAACTGGAGCATACATATTTAGGTTTGTCCAAAATTTTGATTTCATGAAGTGAAGGACAAATATCAGCATTCTATAATATGAATGATTCCAAATAACTTGATACTACTCATCATAAAAATCACACTGAACTTCAAATCTTAAATAAATTTATTGGTATAATCTTCAGCAAGTTTCTTTAAAAACAATGCTTCAGTGTTAAATAATTCACAATATACACAGCTTTATTGTGCAAAAGTTGCAGGCTGAAAATTTGAACACTTTTTCAGAAGTTTTTTTAAAATCTAGTAAGACTTTTATTTGAACCTTGTTTTTTCTTGAATATTTTTAGAATCAAGTATGTAAAATTTTGAATAATTTCCTTCTCTCATTGTTTTAAATTTCAAACTTGTTAAATCCATAACAATATAAGCCCACATAAAAATTTTTCAAATAAATATAGTAAATCATCTGTAAAATATTATTATTAACAGTAACACTAATAAAAATAACAAAAAACAATAATAATAATAATAATAATAACAGTAATAATAATTAACTATAATAAAAACTTATTTTATCAATTTTAAAATCAATTTATTTAAACTTTACTTTTTTAATAGGAAGTTAAACATTTTTTTTTAAAAAACAAATTGAGCATATATATATTTTATACGAAAAGTTGTTCCGAAAGGTAATGTTTTGTTATTTCAATGACTTATGCTCAAATTATTTTAATAAATTTATAAAAGTTCTTTTAAATTGTTAAAAAATAGAGGTAAACTTTGTGTTAGTAGAGGTAGGTTTTTGGTTAGGTTAAATATATACATATATATAAATATTACAACTTATTTTTTTATATATAAGCTATGATGGTCTATGATTTTTTATATATAAGCTATGATGGTTATATTTAAGCTATGATGGTCTACATAACACATTTGACACACAAAAAAAATACCACAACTTGTGACACAAACGACACACTTTTACACAAAGTCTTATATAAATATATAATTTAAACAAACAAACAAAAGTTATTTTACTTCCACACTTTTTTAAATGCCCAAAAGATAACAACATTGAACATTCTCATAAATAACAAGTGTTATTTTACATGTGCTTAAAACATACCTGTTTGATGTTTTTGCACCATTTTCAAAATAGAAGTGTAAAAAAATAATGATTAAAATAGAGATGATAGTACAAAATGACATGACTAGTAACTATAAAAAATAAACCATTTTGTGACAAGACAGCAATAGTTGCTATTGTTGTTTTGACAAAAATACCCTGATCGCGTCTTCACTTCACCCATCCCAAAAATCAAGTGAAAAAAATTAAATAAAATTAATCAAACATGATATGAATTATCTTTACAACACACATACTCTTTTATTGTAGATACAGCTTTTTCTTTAAGAGCTTTTTTAGCTTTTATTAAATCTTTGCAATTCTGTTGTGTGGTAATCAACTTTAACTTAGTAGATTCAAGATCTTTTTTCAAGTCGGCATGATATTGAGCATCTTTAGATTTCATGTGCCAATCTTGTTTTTCTTTTTCAAGATTAGAAATTCTGTCTGCAAAATCATTAAGCTGATGATTTTTTTGTTGAAGTAGCGATTCTTTGTTGTTTAATTCAAATTCAAACTTTTCGATGCGAGACAAGAGTTTTTCTATAAAATAAATTTTATAGTGAAAAAAATCAAAAGTTTACTGAACCTTTTCAGCATTAAAATATTTAGCATATATATATATATATATATATATATATATATATATATATATATATATATATATATATATATATATATATATATATATATATACATATATATATATATATATATATATATATATATATATATATATATATATATATATATATGCATGGTCATTTTTGATTTTACCTTCGCTAGGTCAGTTTTAGGTTTTTTAAAAAAAAAAAATTATTTTGAAGAACAGAGAAAGTTTTTGTTGTTGTTGTTTTTGATGTAGCAGCACTCCACTGCAAGTTAGGCTATAAGATAGTCAATGTAGCAGCACTTCCTTGTAGCAGCAGGCTATAAAATAGTTGATGTAGCAAAACTCCCTTGTAGCAGCAGGCTGTAAGATAGTCAACAGGCTTTCACAGGAAGACGTGCAATTGCACGTCTTTATATGATCATGCATGTGCGATTTTTGTTTTGCTGACTTGGCCACGGCTTTTCGACAGTTGATAATTTTTGCACATTTTCAAAATGGCGCTTTAAAATGAAAGTAAATAAAAAAACAAAAACAAAAAACCATTAACTGAAAAAAGAAAATAAATCTTAACCTAAGTGAAAACAAACAAACGTAAAAAAATCTTTTAAGTTCAAAAGCGTTTTGCTTAATAGACTTGAATATTGATCAAATTTAATTTTTCCAATTTGGAATTTCCAAAGTGATTTATAAATGAAACTTTTGATAATTTTGTTGCAGGTTAGTGTTATTTATAGCATACCATTTTATGTAAAAATTCAATACCTTTTGATATAAACTACTTCCTAAAGTTTAAGATTTATCAGTTCTTTTATTTATTTTTTTTTACTGTTTTTGATGTAAAATAATAAAATGTCATTAATACTAATGTTTAATTAATTAACTTAATTTAAATAATAACAATATTATAAAACATGTAAATACTTAATAAGTCCAATAGCTGATTATTCCGACTAGACAATAAAAATTTCAATTAAATCGAAATTTTAACAACATTAAGGAAACATCTTCATACATGCGTGCAATTAAAAAAGGAACATCTTTATACATGTATGCATCTTTTTAAAAGAAATGGCAAGGTTCTTTTATATAATTTCTTCTGTAATAACAAAATTGCCACACAAAATTTGTTTCCTCCTATGTAATAAACAGCAACCATTAAACGCAAAAATCAGAGTAGAGTTGCATGTGATAGAAAAAGAATGAGTACAAAACCAATAACAAAATTATTAAAAACTGTTTCTTCATTAAAATATAATTTCCTTGGTTATGAAGTTGAAAATGTTAATTGCGTTGACACTGTTGTCAAAATATGGTGAGAACTATGCGCTAAGCATGAGAATATTTTATTTCCTCACTTGTATCAAGATTTGTTGATGGAAATAACAAGCATCCTAAAATAAGAAAACAAAAACAGTAAAAAAAAAAAAAAAAGAACTGAAAAATCCTAAATTTTAGGAGGTAGTTTATATCAAACGGCATTGAATTTTTACATAAAATGGTGTGCTATAAACAACACTAGCCTGCAACGAAATTTGCAGTCAAAATTTTGTTTATAAATCATATTGAAAATTTTGTTTATAAATCATATTGGAAATTCCAAATTAGAAAAATTAAATTAGATCAATACTCAAGTATAATAAGCGAAACGCTTTTGAGTTTAAAAGATAAAAATTTTGTTTACAGCTTTTTTTTTTCGTTTGTTTATATTCACTTAGGTTAAGATTTATTTTCTTTTTTCAGTTCATGGTTTTTGTTTTTATTTTTATTTGTTTACTTTCGTTTTAAAGCGCTATTTTAAAAATGTGTGAAAATTATCAACTGTCGAAAAGCCATGGCTAAGTGAGCAAAACAAAAATTGCACATGTGTGGTCATATAAAGATGTGCGATCGCATGTCTTTATATGACCACACATGTGCAAATTTTAGAGTAAAAAAATGCACACGTGCAATTTTCAGAGTAAAAAAATTAAAATAAAAACATTCAGAATGTTTTTATTTAAAAAAAATAAAATAAAAACATTCAGAATATTTTAAAAACATTCTAGTCTTTTAATTTGCGTTTTTGTGGTTTTTTAAAAGAACACTAAATTTAATTAGTTTCCTCAATTTAATTAGAATCATATGATATAGTTATAAACTCTAAAATAATTTAAAATCAACTGAGACTGGAAAACCAGTAGTTTTTTCTTCCCTTATGTCAATTGTTTGATAACCAGCTTTACTAAGCCTATAGCCCATGATCACTTTCTTTACTGTTTTTCTTCCAATATACATTGTTGTTTAACTAACAGCACCATTATCTGATTTCAGTATCTGCTTTTCAATCTTAAGTGAAAAGAATCTGGTATATATTTGATTATTCTAGAAAAATTCTAAAATTTTTTAGAATTGTCAAATAAATACCAGCTTTTTTAAGTTAATGAACTTTTTTAAAGCATTAGCTAATGCTTTAAAAAACTTATTCATAACAAACTAATGCTTTATTTAATGCTTAATGCTACTAGTAATCTGTAAACAAAATATACTTTACTAAAAATAGGTTCAAGAAATAGTTTTGTAAAAATAGCATTATTCTAAAAATGCTCCTGCTGTTTTAAATTTGTAAATTAATAGTAAAAGTAAATATAAAGTAAAGTATGTAATGTAAAACTGTAAAGTATGTGGAAAAAAAAAAAAAAAAATTAACCGTCTAAATAAATTATTATTATTTTATTATTAATATTAGTATTTTGTCATTAATAATAAAACTCATATTAAAAACAAAATCAATAAAAGCAGAAAAAGAAAAAAATTACGTTTGCTTTTTTCATTTTTATCTAGCAGTCTCTTTAAATGATTAATTTCTTCTTCATAGTTATGTTTAAATGCTTGAGTTTCATTTTTTATTGTAGACAAATCAATCAGCAATTCTCTATGTTGTTTATCATTAGCAGTCAGCTAAAAAAAAAATTAAATCTTTTTTTTATTTTTAAGAAGCATAATGGTGCCAACATCATTTTAGATGGTAAATAATGTATAAAATTAGAATATACCTTTTTACTATAATTAGAACTATTATTATGCATAGCTAGCAAAATTTTTAAGTCTTTAATTATCAAACTTTTAATCTTGAGACAACTAAAATAAACTATCATTTAATAATTCAAATTAATGAATGTTCTCTTAGTATTGCAGTATTAAAGTTGTCCTTGATAAACACACTTATTTGTTTCTAGTAACCTCAAATATTTTAACCTCTATATTAATACTTTTCATAACAATCTTAATTTAATTTAAATAAAGCGGCAATATTTGTTGACAGTACAACCATATATTGAAGTTTTGACAAAAATGCATCACTTATAGATAAGTTTTTAGTTTAGAACAGGCAGTTAATCTTAAATTTAATCTCTGTTCTGTGACAGAGGCTCACAGTGGCTAGACAAATTACTGCAGAGCAGAATAGCAGTTATAATATTTCAATATTGATGGCAAAACTCTTGCTGAGTCCTCTACTTTATATCTTCCTGAATAACCTTTCCTTAATGTGTATACTATTTAATTAATCACTAAATTAACATCTGCTTAAGCTGCCTCTCTTTATTGTGTTTACTATTTTCTCACTTTTAATTTTATTTTATTGGAGACATTTTGTTGTATTTAGAGTTGCAACCCCAAAAAAAACGGTGTGTTTTTTTTAAAAAAAACACGTTTTTTTTGCAAAAAAAACAGACTGGTTCTAAAAACATGTTTTTTATAGTTTTTTTTGCTTTTTTTTTAGTATTCATTAAATTTTAGATAATAATAATACTTGAAACAGTTCCAGTGCCCTTAAACCTACAAAATACAAATGTTTTCTATTTAATAAAATGCATATTAACTTATATAATAGCTGTTACAAACTAATCACCAATATTATAAAAAACAGTATTAAATATTTAAAAAAGTAATTTTTTAAATAAATCTCAAAAAAACTATACTATTAACTACTAGTTGATTGTAAGTATAATACTACTGAATGAAGGAAATAAAAATGTTATTTTAGCAGTGTTATTTCATTCATAAAAATGAATGAAATAACACTGCATTGCAAAATACAAAAATGAACCAACTGTTAAATAAAATTTACTTTAATGTTTTAATTATTTTTGTATATTACTTTTTTAAATTTTTAATATTTAATTTCTTTATTTTATTTTAAATTGCAATTAGATAGCTAAAATTTTATTTATTCAAACAATATTCAAGTAAATAAAAATAACACAATGATTAACTTTGTCTAATGAAAAAACATTTATATTAAACAATTTGTAATCTATTAATTATTTTTAATTAAAAAAAAAAAAAAGAAATCTAAAAAAAAATATGCCAGGCAATAGAAGACCTTAATGAACAAGAAAGCCAGAATACAGAATCTGTTATTAATTAAAAATAAATCTTTTAAATGATGTACTATATATTTACCATATATCATGTTATTAATATATATTATATTACATTTATAATAAAAATAAAAATTAAATAAAAGTAAATAATTTTTTTTTTAATCTAAAAAACAAAAAAACCCATAAAAAACACAAAAAACACATGTTTTTTTTTGCAAAAAAAACACAATTAAAAAAAAACGGTTTTTTTTGCAACTCTAGTTGTATTTGGGCTTGAACTTACATTGATTTCCTTTTGCTTTTAAAAAAAAGTGCAAAAATGTAATTGTAATAAAAGCTATTCTACCTCCAAGTTTGTACTTTTGTTCAATCATTTTAAGGCTAGATCTCTTATTTCTACTACTTTGGTCAATGCTCAAGTGAGATATTATCTCTTTTCTTGCCTTCTTGCATATCATCATTAAGCAGAGTCTTCCGCTGACTCAAATAATTTACTACCCTAACTCAGATTAACTTACAGATTAACCTGTACAGAGTACCAGAACTCAGATTAACTACCCTACCCAGATTAACTTACAGATTAACCTGTACAGAGTACCCTGACTCTAATAACTTACAGATTAACAAGCCTCTCTATTCCTTAGTTATTCCCAATTTAAATGTTGGTTAATGTTCATAAATTAACTTTTGAACCATTTTGATTCCTTGACTTTGAAATAGCCTTACAATAATATAAAAAAAATATTTATTAGATATGGAAAGACATCATAGATTAACATTGAAAATTGTGTTGTTTGATAACTATTGTCACCTCTTTTCACTTCAAATAAAGAAGCCAAAACAGAAGTTGATAAAAGCTTAAGTTAAAATGTGTTCAATGTTTTAAACACTGTAAAAATCTCTATAAGCTTGTTTTTAATTAATTCTACAAAGATTTTATTTGTGTTTTATCTCATATGTTTTATGTAGGGATGTACCGAAGCTAAAATTTTGCCGAAGCCGAAGCTTCGGCCGAAGCCACTTTGCCGAAGCTTCGGCACTATATATGCTTAAAATTTAATTAGCATTCACATCAGCAGGGGTGTAAAACAAAAAAGGTTCCAAAACTAAGATCCTTGACTAATAATATAGAAAAAATGTATAAAAATGAGGACACAAGTCAGGGTTGCTGCCCCAGGCAGGGCAAAAGCTCTCAGCGCCCCTGTTTGAAAGTTTCTTATTATGTCGTTTCTGATACTTCACCGCACCTAGTGTTTTTTTTTTAAACTTAAGCTTTTTTGAAACATTCTCCTCAAATTTTCCTACTTCTAGTTCTACTTTTTCTGTGTGCAAACCATATTAATGTTATATAGTGCACAATATCAGTAACTCACATATATTTCCAACTATTCCCAATATTCTTCTAAGATTATTGCTATTTTTTTGATCTTTTATAGCCATACTGTTCTTCTATGTAAACATCGTTTCTCTTTAATCCTCTTTCTAATCATCTAATTTTTAATCCTCAATTTAATCACCTTGTTTGCTCTATCTAATTATCGTGTGCTAGCTGAACATCCTCAAATTTTATTCCCCATAAATTACTGTTACGCATCTTTTCATGTGCTGTATATTTTATTTTTATTTTTAATGCACCTTTTGTTAAGAGTGGATAAAAATCTCTGAATATTACTCAAGTAAATTAATCTTTTACACTTGAACACTCTTTCTCTAAGTAAACACTCTTAGCTGATCTAGTTGTATTTACAACATAAAAAATCTTACAAACACACTTTATCTTTTTATTGCTATTTATTTCAATATCTTTTTTTTACTTCTCTGTATTTCTTAAACGAACAATTTCTAAACTAAAAAAAAAACCAAGTTAAGACCATTTTGTATTCCACTACAACTGTTGTAAACCTGCTGCTAAAAACAATTAATAGATAAATAGATGCTAAGTACAATTGATAAATTTCTCTCTAACTTCTTTTTTACACACTTTTAAGTTGTTGTTTTTTTTTTTTATTATTTTTAATTTTACACTACATAACATTTTCTTAAGCTTCTATTAATCTTTTACTCTCTGAAATTATAGTATTCATTCTTCTTCTATCTCTGTAATGGATAAATCTGCATCAGTATCTGAAATCAAATATTAACTATCTGTGACAAAAACTTCTATAGTAATCTAACAATTCAGTAAAGCGAGCTTTAAATAAAATAATAAATAGAATACTTTATAAATTTTTTATTTATAATTATATTATTATTTACTTTATATTTATAAATAAACAGGGACTGAGCAGGCTGATATTTATTTGATTTAAATTGTTTATTTAATTTAAATAAATTTTGATGATAAATACAAGAGCTCAAAATAATCAAAGCTTTAACCTTTAATTTATTTTAAATAAAATTTAAAAGTCTTCATATCATAAGAAGAAACCAGAATATAAGTTTATATGTTTAATATATAAATTCAATTTAGAAGTATTCATAATATAAATAAAAGGGCAAGGATAATTATTATCATTGTTTGTCTTTTTCTTTTAATTTATATAGTTTTGGTTGACTTTTTTTTTCTTTTTTTATTCTCCTCATTTATATTTCATTTGCTTTTCTTCCTTTTTTGTTGTTGAACTTTATGTTTTTTATGTGTCACTCCATTGACTAGTTTGTAACTATATAAGTGACACCTAACCAACTTCTGTAATCTTACGATGAAAATTTGTAAATTTTTATTATTATGGTTAAATAAAATTAAAAAAAATTAAACATACATAGAATTTAAAATAGTAGCAACGTATCTTTAATCTTCTTTAAAGTGAGATTACTAAGGTTTATAGGTCAAATGTTGAAATCAATTTTTGTTCTATTTGCAGTAATCCCACACAAAAATTAATATAAATTCGTTACTTAATACAAATTAAGGTTTTTTTTCCATTTTATTTTTAAAAAGTTTTAATTTGTTTTAAATTATAAGGTTTTTATTCTGCATAAAAATGCAGATTCAGTTCATCTAAAGTCACACTTGGAAGCCTTCAAAGTGTATGAGGACCTTCCTTAATTTTACTAGTATATTCAAAATATTTCTACTTATTTATTATCATCCCCTTCATAACAAGACATTTGGGAGTAAATAATACTAAGTATATGGTATAGACTCCAACTTTAACTCTGTAGTCCTGAATTTACAACTTAATTAGACACTGGCAATTAGCATATTTTTATAACTTGTACAAAAGTAGCTTATAAATTTAATTACTTAAAATTTTTTGCCGAAGCCAAAGATTCGGCAAAAAATTGACCTGGCTTCGGCCGAACCGAAGCTTCGGCAAAATTGCCGAAGCTTCGGCATGCCGAAGCCGAAGCCGAAGCTTCGGTACATCCCTAGTTTTATGTGTTGTTTTATTTCTTATGTTTTATGTGTTGTTTTATCTCTTATGTTTTATGTGCTGTTTTATCTCCTATGCTTTATGTGTTGTTTTATCTAATATGTTTTATGTGTTGTTTTATCTCATATGTTTTATGGGTTGTTTTATCTCATATGTTTTATTTGTTGTTGATTTGTTGTTGATTTGATCTTTTATTTTTTTTATAATTTTAACAACTATTTAAAATTTCTTTTATAGAACCCAGCATTAAATTATGTTATTTTTTAAGTTAAAATTAAAAAAATATGTTATAATAAAAACGCATAAGTTAAAAAACAAAACAAATAAACAATTATTAAATTATCTTTTGACTTTTTATAAATTACTTTTAATAGAAATCATACAAATACAATACTCAGCAAAAATCGCTTAACTGAAGATGTAAATTGCTACAAAGTTTGAAACTTGATACTGTTTTTTACACGAGCCACACATCAGTAAGACCTGTTATGTTTTTTACACTAGCCACACATTGGTAAGACCTGTTATGTTTTTTACACTAGCCACACATTGGTAAGACCTGTTATGTTTTTTACACTAGCCACGCATTGGTAAGACTTGTTAAATAGTAAGCCATAGATCAAAATAATCAACTTGAAAATTAATGCGTTTAAAACTCTGGGGATTATGTGAAGAATTTTCGCAAATTAATTTATTCAAAAGTTAATTTATAACAAAAAGTGTGAACTAGTGCTGTATTAGAGCAAGGGCTTTAATAAAATTAGGCTATCCGACCTGTAGCCTTTTTTTATTTTAGGGAAACAGATAATTTTTCTTTTTATATGCTTTGCAGTTTTCATTTCTTTGGGTGATTTTGTTCATTCTCTTTGAAGCCAATTCACAGCAATTAAAAAATGAAAGAAACAATCTAAGTACCAATTCATACAAATGTAAAACAAGACTAAAACGCAAGAAAAACCATAGATGGGATTATGGTAACTCAGAGGATTTAGAGTCATTGCCTTCTGATAAGTTTAAAGTTAAGTTTTATTTGCCTATAGTTGATCAATTGTTAGTACTGTACTGGAGAAAGTATTTTTTTTTGCAGTACTGTACTGCAGAAAGAATTTTTCTGCCCTTAAAAGAATCAAGAAAGAATTTAATTCACAATGGCCCAACCTTGCTTAAATGATTTGAATCTATTATGCTTAATGTGACAGTTAGATCAAGAGATTTCACAACAGTCATCAAGAAGTTTGCTTCAGAAAAGTCAATATATGAAAAAATTATTTTAAAGTTAATTTACTATATATTACATAAATTATGCTAATTATACAAATTATGCTACTATTTATTGTTTTTTTTTTATATTTTCAAAAAAAAAAAAGTATGAAAATTCTAGTTTCAGATAATTAAATAACACCATCAATAATATAATTAACAATAATATAACAATATATAATTAAATTTAATAATATATGTTTGCTTGTATTGCTAAATATCACATTCTAAGATAAAATAAATATTATTATTGGTGCTTTTGTATTGCTAGATTCTACTAAGAGCATACATGTACTTCACTTCTCTGTTTACAAATATGTTAAATGCTCTAAAAGCATACTTAGATTATTTCCTTTTGACAGTGTGATTTAATTTTTTTTTCTCAGGCTTTCTAGTATAGCCTTGTTTCTGATTGATATTTTAAGGTTACTGTCGCATTAGGCCCTCTTATATTTATAGCCCCAGGCCTAAAAATGTCTTAATCTGATCCTGGTGCAAACACAGACTGTTGAACTATTATCTATTTATACCTCATTTTTTAACTTTTCATACTCTTCAATTATTTTAGATTTTGAATTTTTTTCATTTTGTAATTGATCTTTTAAAAGCTGCAATTGACTGGCTTTCATCTGATCAACTGCATAAATCTCATCGACAGTGGTTTCAAAAACACGATTTTCACAACTCTTTATATGCAGCTCATCTTTGAGTTTTCTAATCTAAAAAACAAATTGCTTTTTTGTTTAAACTGTGATGGTACAAAAATTAAAAAAAAAAATTAAAAAAAAAAACACACTATAGATTGCTTTAATGTAATCGAAAAACTGTACAAAATATTTAAAAATTATCTAAGCTAACAATTAGTTTGCCAAATCTATTTTGAAATAAATTTTTTGCAATATCTTATGCAAGCACTCTACTTCTCAATTTCTAAATGCAATTGTTTTATTTACCTCTCAATTACTGAATGCAATAGTTTTTTCTACTTATCCCGTATTTTAAATGCAATTGTTTTATCTCAGCAAATATTTTAAATTATCTACCTCAGCAAATATTTTAAATTTCATAAAAACTAGAAAAACCTTTTTTTTAAATTAGCAACATAAGCTAATTTTAATAAAGTGCAAAAGTTTTCAACCATAAAAGCAGGTACAAAAAATTTAAAAAGAATTAAAAAGATAATGATTATGTGCATGCCAATAATTGTGAAAATTAATTAATTTAATAAATGCATTAAAAAAGTTAATAAACTAATGCCAATAAAAATGATTATTTTAAAATATAACACTGAAATTCACAATTGCAAACAAAAAAACAACACAAGCAAGAAACACTTATTAAAAAGTATAGTTTACAATAGCAGTGCCTGTTCAAAAATTAAAATTAATTTAATTTACCATTATTTTTTTAAAAAAAGAAGAAAATTTTGTGAAATTTAATTTCATTTTAGATCTAAAAAATAGAGATAGTTTTAAAATGGAAGCTTTATAAAATTAAGTTTTTATTAAATTTTTCGAAAAATATTTAAAACTATTTTTTGATTTCAAGTTAAAAAAAGGACCCCAGTTACAAAGTAACTTTCAGTTACAAAGTAACTTCCAGTTACAAAGTAACTTCTAGTTATAAAGTAACTTAGTAACATTTTTACTTACTAAGTAACATTTTATTAATTCATTTACTTCTTCACTAAGTTGAATATAAAAATTTATTTAAAAACTACAAAAAACTATTATAATATATAATATTATATAAAAACTATTTAAAATTTATTTAAAAATATAACTTTTCAAAACTTTTTCAAAAAGTCATAAACTGTTAACATGTAAAGTACTTGCAAAAACCTGATTTACATTTTGAAGCATTTAAAAAAAAATTTGGAAAAAAATTTACAAACGAATACAAAATAATTTTATTCTTCTTAATTCTTATCAGCTCAAGCATTATATTATCAGGGGCCTAAAACAAACATACGCATCATAGATTAAAAAAATGTATACCATTTCTTCCCCTTTTTCTATTTTTCTTTTGTAATGTGAAATGCAATCTTCTGAATCACGCCAGACAGCTTTACTAGAAAATATGCAATTTAAGAATTTTAATAAAATAAATAAAAAATAAAAAAATACTTTTATTAAGTTTTTATAAGTGTTCTCTACCAAATTGCTTTTTTTCTTTAAAAAAAGACACTAAAAAAATAAAATTTAGTAGAGGACACGTGTACAAATACTTTTGGGAATACGCAGAAATTTGATAAAACTACTTTTCAAAAATTTTATTTTCATTAATAAAAGAATGCCCACTATTTTGTAGATAATATTTGATATTTAAATTGGATATGGCTCACATGTTACTAAATTGCTTAACTTATATAATCCAATAATTACTGCACAAGACATGGGTTTTTCATTGAGCATAACTTTATTTTTTTCTCGAATCAATATTTTTAGGATAATATTGGGTTAAAAAGATAGGTTAAAAAATATTTTTCCTGAGTTTTTCTTAACAGCTGATTGCTTATTAAACAATTATTTAAAAAATAAGTTCCTATTTTTTATGAAAATAATGTCATCAATTTTTTTTGTTTTACTGTTATTATTTGTTAGAATAATAGCAAACTATACCAAATCACATAACACTTTTTGGACTGATGAGAATTATTTAATCCCCTTGTATTAAACTCTTATCTTTCTTTTAAACCGTTTTTTTTTCCTGTAAAAACATTGCATAACTTTTCACTTAATTTTTAACAAAAAATTATCTTTAATTGTTTGTCATCAATTATTTATCATTTTAGATGTAATTTCTAATGGTTTTGAAGCGTATTTATTTTGTAACAGCAAACCTATTACATTTATTTTTAAATACTTTTATTGGTGATAAGAATTTTTTAGGTTTCTTTAATAAGTAAAATGTTTGAAGTTTAGTTTAAGTGTTAAAAAGGTTTAGTTTCAGTTTTAAAAAAGTAATACAGGCATACAGTAATAAAGAAAAGAAGATTCAATACAGTGCTATAGTAGCTGTTGAAATAATTTTAAAAGAACTTCCCTCTGGTGATACCATTGAAACTGAATCATCTGATTTTGATTCTGCTATCGAACAAGATGTTATTATTGATCCTATTAAAATTGAACAAGGTTCAGTGGCTGAAGAAAACTATTTATTTCATTCAGATAATGAGATAGTTGATAATGGTGTTAAAAACAATGAAATAGATTCTAAAATTAAATATATTATTGATAATGATAGAAGCTGGATGTTACAAAAAGAAAAAAAAACAGTTTTACCTTTCAATTTTCATTTATATTTTATTATATTTACTTAATGTATATATATCAAGAAATTTTCTTGTTTTAAAGTTTTGTGATATTTATGCATTTTAAGTTTTTGAACATATATATACTTATATATAATAATATATATATATAAATATATAAGTATGTGTATGTGTGTATATATATATATATATATATATATATATATATATATATATATATATATATATATATATATATATATATATATATATATATATATTATATATATATATATATATATATATATATATATATATATATATATATATATATATATATATATATATATATATATATATATATATACATATGTATATATATATATATATATATATATATATATATATATATATATATATAAATACACACTTTATACTTCATAGGACAAAGAACAAAGTTTGCTTTTTTGCTTCAAAGAACAGTTTGCTGAATACAGTTGATTTCTTCATGAGATATTATATCCAAGAAATAGTCATGCCTTTGTACAAGTTTGCTGAATACAGTTGATTTCTTTATGAGATATTATATCCAAGAAATAGTCATGCCTTTGTACAAGTTTGCTGAATACAGTTGATTTCTTCATGAGATATTATATCCAAGAAATAGTCATGTCTTTGTACAAGAAAGTTTCTATTTTAAATCATAGCAATTTATATGCTTTACTATGTCAAAACAAAGTACAAAAAAAAAAAAAAAGAAGACTTTATTTATTGAAATAAACTTTGTAATGGGATATCACAAACTACCATCATTAAAAGATTATAAGATACAGAGCCTGATTCGGAAGTACTATTTATTTCTTCTGCAATGTCGTGTGACAGGTTCACCATATTATCTTTTTTTTTTTTTCAATTTTTATTTAATATATTTCAATAATATAGTTTAGATTTTTATCTTTATAACTAGTTGGTGGTGATTACTGATTCTTTCGAACCCTAAAACAAACCCCACAACAGCTTGTGGTCCTGACAACATTCCTGTTGTAGTCTTGCAGAGGTGTTCTCCGGAGCTTTCATCCATACTTTCTAAACTATTTAACAAGTGCTTATCAGAGTCTTGTTTTCCATCATGCTGGAAAGCAGCATCTGTTATCCCTATTTTCAAAAATTCCGGAGAGCGATCTGATTCATCTAACTACCGCCCCATTAGTCTTCTTCCTGTCATAAGCAAAGTTTTTGAATCTTTAATCAACAAACACTTAATCTCTCATCTTGAATCAAATAACTTACTTTCTGATCATCAATATGGATTTCGGTCTTCTCGTTCTACAGCTGATGTGCTAACAGTAATAACCGATAGGTTTTACCGTGCATTAGATAGAGGTGGAGAGGTTAAGGCTATCGCACTTGACATTTCTAAAGCTTTTGATAAAGTTTGGCATGCTGGTCTTCTCCATAAGCTTTCTTCTTATGGTGTATCTGGTAACGTCTTTAAGATTATTGAGTCCTTTCTTTCCAATCGTAGTATAAAAGTTGTCCTTGATGGACAACACTCTTCTTCACATCCTGTAACTTCAGGGGTTCCTCAAGGTTCAATCCTTGGCCCTATACTCTTTTTAATTTACATTAACGATCTTCCAGATATTCTCACATCTAAGGTGGCATTATTCGCTGACGACACTACCATTTACTCTTGTCATGATAAGAAGCCTACACTCTCTGATTGCTTGGAGGGGGTATCTGAGCTTGAAAAGGATCTCACTTCTGCTACAGCATGGGGCTCACAGTGGCTGGTGAACTTTAATTCAGATAAAACTCAATTTTATTCGGCCAATCGTTATCGTAATAATTTAGATCTTCCTATATTTATGAATGGTAATGTACTAGATAAGTCATCTACCATTCATCTTCTAGGATTAACTCTTACTTCTGATCTTTCTTTTAAACCGTATATCAAATCCATTGCAAAATTAGCATCTGCTAAGGTTGCATCTCTTTATCGAGCTCGACACTTTCTTACTCCAGATTCTATTCTCTATCTCTATAAATCTCAAATCTGTCCCTGTATGGAATACTGTTGCCACATCTGGGTCGGATCTTCTAATGATGCTCTTTCTCTTTTAGACAAGGTGCAAAAACGAATTGTAAACATAGTTGGACCTGCTCTGGCAGCCAATCTCCAACCTTTGTCACATCGCCGTAATGTTGCTTCTCTTTCTCTTTTCTACAAATACTATAATGGGCACTGCTCTAAAGAGCTAGCGTCCCTTGTGCCATCTACTAAAAATCATTCTCGTGTTACTCGCCATTCAATTAAGTCTCATCCTTTTTCTGTGACTGTTCCTAAGTGCTTCAAAAACTCTTATTCTTCTAGTTTTTTTCCTCGAACATCAGTTCTTTGGAATTCGCTTCCTTCATCTTGCTTTCCTGATTCATATAATTTGCAATCTTTTAAGTCATCAGTCAATCGTCATCTTGCTCTACAGATTTAGTCTTTTCTCTTCCAGTAACTTCCAACTCTTATAGTGGTTGCTTGCAGCCTTGTTGGAAGTGAAGATGTTAAAAAAAAAAAAAAAAAAAAAAAAATTAACACTTTTATTTCTTCTTTTAAATCTTAAATTCTTGACAATCAATAATGACTGAAAAATTGCTGTTTTGACCAATGTGTTCCGATCTGATAATTTTTTTAAATTTATTTTTATTTATATATGTATGTATACACTAGGGTGGGTCAAAGAAATTTTTTTCTTGTTACAGGCTCTAAACATTGCTAATAGTTAATATTGATACTTTTAAATATGAAAATGATTGTGATAGATTTAAAGGACGCAACTTTATTGGGAAAATTACCGCTACCCTAATAATTTGGAGAAAAAAAGTTTTTCAAAAATAGGTCAACCTGGTACTCAAAAGAAGCGAAATTTTATAAAAAATTAGAAAATAATAATCATTTTAAAAAAAATCATATTGCTGAAAAAAATTGTTATTAAAAAACACGTAAAAATGCACCTTTTACACTTTTAGTTAAAAGACTATAGTTATTATGCAATAAAATCTAAAATAATAACTTTTATATGAAAAAATTATTATTTTTGAAATTTTTATAAAATTTCGCTTTATTTAAGTACCTACATCACATAATTTTGAAAAACTTTTTTTTTGAATAATAATAGGGCCTGCTAATTTTTGTAATTATAGCTGCGGGTGGAAGACATTGTTCAATCCATAAAAGTAAATACTTTCCTAAATTAGTACATAAAAAAACAACTTTCTAGCAATGTTTAGAGCCTGTAACAAGAAAAAAAAATTTTATGACCCACCCTAGTATACACATTCATATATAAATACACACACTTACACACATACATATATATACACATACATACATACATTTTGTATATATAAATTTTCCTTTTTTTTTTAATATAAAGTTTTACATTTATTTTACAAATATTGGTATAATAATAAAAGTATAATAACTATTATATAATTATTATACTTTTAATAAATTATAATAGAGAATAAAATCACCATATCAATTAGAATAAAAATAAAAGTAACAAAAAAAGAAATTGACTAAGTTTAAATAAAAACTTTGTATCTGATAGAAGATCTAATGATCTTGTCACCAGAACCATAAAATGTTATAATAAAATATAACTTAAACCATTAATAAATATAAACAAATAAAAATGACAGAATACAAAAACAAAAGAGCGTGTTTATATAAATTTCTTTTTTTAAAGTATTTCAAAATTTTTTTTAAAGTATTGTCATTAAAAAGAATGAATTCTTTTAAATTTTTTTTAAAGACTGAGAAGCTAACTAGTAAATCAAAATTAGGTAATTTGATTTTGTTCCAGAGATTAGGTGATAAGCTATACAAAACTGATTAAATTTTGTTCAACAAAAGGGTTCATAGAGTAAGTTATTATTTGGTAGTTTATACTTATTTTTTGTTTTTAAGGTAATAAAATCTTTAAAAATGTGTAATGATTGATTTTACATTGAAACATAAAACATAATATTTTAAATACATTCACTTCATAAATATTAAGTACTTTAACATTTTTAAATAAAAACTTTGAATGCGTAAGTCGATTTTCAAAACAAACTAAGCGTATTGTGTGTTTCTGATGATGATAAAGAGTACGCAACTTACTTTTGCTTGTACTTCCCCAAGCAATATTTACATAGTTAATATAACTATGCATAAATTAGTAATATTGTTGGATTAAAATGGTTTTGTTTAAATAATTTCTTGACTTACAGAGGACTCCTATATTTCTAAAAACTTTAGTGCAAATATAGTTAATATGCGGTTTCCATGTAACATTCTCATCGAGATAAATAGCAAGAAAACTAGTAAAAGTTTCCTTTTTTATTTCAAATTTATCAATAAGATTTTTTGGCATGGTTGTTAGTAAAAAACGTATTTTAGGTATAGCGTGAAATAAAATGTATTTTGTTTTATCAAAGTTTAAAGTTAGTTTGTTACATTTAAACCACTAAGGTACAGTAAAAAAATTTGTTAAATTTGTTAAAAAACTTATTGATCAGATTAGTATAACAATTTTTTTTTAGATTTTTAAGAATTTTTTTAAATAAATTTTTATAATTTTTATATATTTTTTTATTTGCAGAAGATTTAGTCTATATTTATTTTATATACAACTTTTGCTTTATTTTCAAAAATTTTTTAAGCCTTTTGTAATACAATAAATTTTTCACATACTGGAAAGTTTGCGTCATATACTAAGTAGAATGTTTTAAAGAATTTATTATAAATAGTACTTGCATCTTCAGAAAAACTGATACGCACCCAATGGAGTAATAATAGTTGATATTTAAAATCATTTATTTTTTTGTCGTAGTAAATACGGTTTTTTACAATTCTATTTTGTTTAACTTTATTTGATAATGTTGTGTTAAGGGTTAAGAAAATAGGGAGGTGGTCTGATATATCAGTTTTTATGATAACTTTTTGGATGGAGTTATTAAAGATGTTTGTAGTTAAAAATATTGTCAATGAGGGTATCAGAATTTTTTATTAATATGTTATTAGCTGCTTATAAGTATGTTTTTTCCTAAGTTAATATTTAAATCATACCTCCATGTCAATTATAACAGCCCTATGCCAAATAACAATCGTGATTAATTGTTCAAATTAAGACCACTTTAAGACTTAATAAAAATATGATTCTTTTCATAGGAATAAGTTTCCTGAAACAAAACCCAAAACTGATAAAAAGAGGATATAAACTATTGTGTATGGCAGACATGGATGGTTATTTGTTTAAATTTTCTGTATATTAAGGTAAAAGTGGTCAAAACTTTCATGATGACATTCCAATCAATTTGGGGTTAGGAGATAAAATTGTTTTAAAAAGGACTAGATGCTTACAAGGTCATTATCATAAAGTAACTTGTTGAGTAACTGATGAAGTAACTTTTTCACTTCTGTTTCTTACTTGAGTATTTGCAATCACAAAATATTTTATCAATCACAATAATATATAATAAATAAATAACAAAAAGTATCTTCCCAAATATTTAAAAAGAAACAAAGATCTAAATAAAGGAGATTTTAATTATAGAGTTTCTCGAAATAGTATTGTAGTATATAAATGGCCTGACACTAGGTCTGTGCATATCAAACCTAATGTAATTGCGTCAGTACCAAAATTAATTTTTGTTTTGATGCAAATAAACCATAAAAACAAATATGCTAATGTGCAGATTATTTTTTGTCCTACTGTTGTCAAAGATTACAATTTTGTATGGGGGAGTCAACAAGGCAAACATTTATTGCCTAATTTATGGCGTCAGCCAAAAATCAAAGAAATGGTGGCACCAAACATTTTTTTGGGGTTCTTTAAAAAGTTAATTGGTGAGAAAATTACACTAATGCATTTTAAGAAATCAGTTGCATAATCGTTTATAATAGTAGGTATACTACCAAAACAGGATGCCTAATGTTATCACCTTCTATATTAACAAAAAACTGCTGCAAATCTAACTACTCTAACTTTGTCAATTAGAAGAGAAAATCAAGGCCTTTTTATGAAACTAACCGTGGAAGATGGAAATTTTCTCAAAAGAAAAGATTGAGTCAAGACCACATTTTGAATGCACCACTTGAAAAAATATTTTATTTTTTATTTGGACAAAAGTGAAAACAAAAATCATTAGTTCCTTTAAAGTAAGACAAATATTAAATAAAATTTTGAAGTAAAGCAAATATGAATTTTAAGCTAAGCACAAATACAGTTTATAATTTTTTATTAAGTTTTTACAAATGAAAAAGAATGTTCATTGGTTGCCCTTGCTTAAACAGAACTGCAAAATGTAATAACAAACTATTCTTTATTCTTCAAGATAAAAAGTAAATTCTACTTCTAGCTTAAAAAGTAACTGAATTTAAATGAATTAAATTAGAACTATTAATAGTTTAAATAAATTGTAAATTTGTTACTACCCAAAAAACTAGATCTAGATGTTATTTGGTACCATCATATTAGTTATCATTAGATAGAAAGGTTTTTTGAGATAGAAAGGTTTGCAACATTTTAACAAAGTATTACAAACATTTTACATAAAATATATCCAGTAAGCAACTGAAAATTTTTACAACCAAACTAATTTACACCTTGAAACATTTTTAAATTTTTGTAAGAAAAATAATAAACTAACACTAAATTTTTTATACCTTGATTTCTCTATTGATTTTGGTGTAACTGATTCCTTGATTATCTCCTAAATACCATTAATTATTGAACAACAATGACTCAAAAACACAAAAAAAGTTTTGAACTGAATAACAATATATGGCATATATATATATATATATTTATATATATATATATATATATATATATATATATATATATATATATATATATATATATATATATATATATATATATATATATATATATATATATATATATATATATATATATGTATATATATATATATATATATATATATATATATATATTACAATTTACTTTAGTTAGTTTATGTCTGTCAATTAAATTAAATTGACAGACATAAACTGCTCATCAGCTCATTGTATAATTTGCCATATGGGCACATAATGCCATGAGCAGATTACGTCTATGAACTAATTTTAGAGGTATTTACAAATTCAATATGGTATAAAATCATATGCTTGCTTGTGATGGCAAAATCATAATCCTGATTGCAATATAATACTTATATCAATATTTATTACCTTAAATACTGAAATTTAAAATAATTTTAAACTATTAGTTTAAATATAAATAAAATCAACAATAAATACAACAGAGAGCATGTATACTATTAATTGGTATTACCTTTATTGATTGAACCTCATCTGAAATTCCTTTTTGGTGCTTTTTCCATTCCCATCGTTCTTCTTCTAACTGAAAATTTAATTGTTTTAAAATTTAACAGCACAATAAATTATGAGGATTATATAGAGCTATATAAACCAAAACAAAATTAAAGTTGAAACAGAAACAAAACATTTAGGGTAAGGTGGGGGTAATCTAAGCCTTTATTTAGTTACTTTTGATATTAAGTAAAATATATATATATAGCAAAACAACTTATTTTTTGAAGAAAACTTTAAATCATGATTAGACATTATTTTCAGTTAACTACATCAAAAAAACTTTTATACATAATTTTTAAAGTTGCCTAAGGAGCACCAATTTGAGTTATGTTTAACAGACCTACATTACCTTATTTGGTGGGTTACATTATTCAGTAAAATTTGACTGAAGTCAATGTATTGTATTTAAATTATTTGATCAAAAGTTTAAACTTTAGTAGTATTACTTTAGTAGTATTACTTTAGTAGTATTACTTTTGTAGTATTACTTTAGTTCATGTTTAAAATGATTTAAAGAACTTTACTCGTTTAAAGTGCTAATTTAAAAATAAAAAACCTCGGTTAGAAGTTTTCCAAAGAATGCAGAGCTTTCTTGTGGTTAAACTTCCATAGTTTTTTTTAACAAAAAATTATAACTCTCCATATAAATAGATAATATGCAAATTTGAAAGTTGAAGTACTTATTAACAGTCATAGCATGATGAAATTATGTTTAAGGAAGAATTTAAAGCTTAATTGAAAATTATTCAAAAAAAATGAATTACAACTCTTAGAATTAGGAAAAATTAGGTCAGCAAATTATTGCCGACCTCAAACTGTTAGAGGCATCAGGTCGACAAAAAAAAATTGGCATAAAGTGGTTACTATAAAACATAGAAACAAGGTTGGCAATTTTTTGTCCACCACAAACACTTTTAGGTTGGCAGTTAGGTCGGCATTGCAAAATGCCGACCCTAATTCTGAGGGCTGGTGTTTATATATACACATATTAGTTTATGTTTGTGTTATATATATACATATTAGTTGGTGCTTATATATATACATACTATATATATATGTATATATATATATATATATATATATATATATATATATATATTATATATATATATATATATATATATATATATATATATATATATATATATATATATATATATATATATATATATATATACATATTATATATATACATATTAGAGATTCATCATCCTTAAAAAAAAAGCATGTTGGTATAATAAAAATTTAATGTACAACCCTTCAAAACTGTTACACATTATCTACTAATTTTAATTGAAAACATAATGTCATTAGATTTTAATGATCATCTAAATGAATCCATAGAAACATTGTCAGACTTCTAATTTATACTAACCCTCATTTTAAAGGTAATTATTGTTTTATAAGCATTAGATTCTTAGATACAAGCAACATTGTCACAATATACATTGTCACAATGTTGCTTATTTCAAGAAACAATGCATCATTCTGTCTTAAAACCATTTGAACCTAATTATCTGGTAATTTTACTTTCAGATTAAAACACTTTCTATGAGTTAGACCCAGTTTTTAATACCTTTTTTAGAAGTTTGATTCAAATTGACACATACATTTAAAGAGAGATTTTCTGAATAAAATCTCTCTATAAATGTATGCGTTATTTTGAATAAATAATATACTTATCTATTATCTATTATCTTAACTTGTGTAGTAAGCTGATAATTAAAATTTAACCAGTTTAACCACCTACAACACACAGAAAAAAGCTTCTACCTAAATCCTTTCTTCTGAAAAACTGATAAATGTTGATTACACAAACCTTCCCCCATACACCAGCATTAGCCCACCCTACCCTATAATAAATGTAATGTTAACATAAATATTTGAATTACATAAGGGTGTTATATAAGAGAGTTCAGTGACATATCCAGGCCCATTACAATACCGCTTTACTGGTTTGGCTGTCCAAACTTTTGTCCAAACACCAGTATTTAAAAATTGATATAAATCTTACATAAGTTCTGAGTTTTACTGAATACAGGAATTCAGCATATTTGGGCAATATACCAAATATACTGGTGTTTCCATATAACTTCTGAATACGTCACTGGGGTTAGACTTTTAGTAAAGAAGGAAAGAGTGTTTTTAAAAATTTTACAAGAATTTTTAAAATTCACTACATTTATAAAAAAAAAAAACATAAAAAACTTACTTGGTTTTGTATTAAAGTTAACTTTTTATCTAAAATTTTTTCAGCTTCATCTTTTCTTCGTGTAGAAGTTAGCTCCTTTTTTATTGACACAAGTTGATCAAGTTGTTCAATTTCTCTTAAAGATTAAATTTTACGCACTTTTAAAACTTTTAGTATATATAAAAATATAAAAACTAATTTCTTTAGAAATCAATATTCAGTTATTAAGAGCAATACAATATTATATATATATATATATATATATATATATATATATATATATATATATATATATATATATATATATATATATATATATATATATATATATACATATATATATATATATATATATACATATATATATATATATATATATATATATGTATATATATATATATATAATTATATATATATATATAATTATAGACATTTGAGAAATGTCTATAATATATATATATATATATATATATATATATATATATATATATATATATATATATATATATATATATATATATATATATATATATATATATATATATATATATATATATATATATATATATAGCCTTAATAGTTTAAAGTTGTTTATTGTTATTATCATAAATTTTATGTTTTTTTCAAAAACTACATTAACGGAAAGTTGCATAACTTACTCTGCTCTTCTCTTTTTCTCTCTTTTTAACTCTTTTTCAAGATGCTCTTGTCTTTTATTCAGTTCACTAAGGGTTGTTTCAAGAATATCATCCTGAAATTAAAATCATCATCATCATAATCATCTTCATCATAATCATTATATACTTTGTCTAAAAAAAGTTATTATTGTTAATTTTGTTATTTTTGTCACTATGAGAAATAACTATAATAACAATATTAACGAGAAGAATTCTTCTATGTCAATTTATTTGAGAAATGTCTATAAGACTTTTGTTTAGGCTGTGTTGAGATTTATAGAGATTTAAAAAAGTAAGAAAGTGTCGAGTTGGATAAAGAGATGCAGCTTTTGCAGATGCTAATTTTGCAACGGATTTGATACATGGTTTCCAAGAAAGATCGGAAGTAAGAGTTAATCCTAAAAAATGAAGGGTAGATGACTCATTGAGAACATTACCGCTCATAAATATAGGAAGTTCTAAATTATTGCGATAACAATTGGCTGAAAAAAATTGATTTTTATTCAGTCAATCATTGCCACCTTAGATGTGAGAATATCTGGAAGATTGATAATGTAAATTAAAAAGAGTATAGGGCCAAGGATTAAACCTTGAGGAACCCCTGAGGTTACAGAATAAGAAAAAGATAGAATGCTGTCCATTAAGGACAGCTTTTATACTACAATTGGAAAGAAAGGATTTAATAATCTTAAAGATGTTTCCAGATACACTGTAAGAATAACGTTTATTGAGAAGACCAGCATGCCAAACTTTATCAAACGCTATAGAAATGTCAAGAGCAATGGCTTTAACCTCTCCACCTTTATCTAATGCACAATAAAACCTATTGGTTATTACTGTTAGCAAATCAGTCATAGAATGAAAAGATCGAGATCCCTATTGATGATCAGAAAGTAAGTTATTAGATTCATGATGAGAGATTAAGTGTTTGTAAATTAAAGATTCAAAAACCTTGCTTATGATAGAAGACTAATGGGATGGTAGTCAGACGAATCAGATCGTTCTCCAGAATTTTTGAAAATAGGGATAACAGATGCTGCTTTCCAACAGGCTGAAAAACAAGACTCTGATAAGCACTTGTTGAACAGTTTTGAAAAGATAGACGACAGCTCAAGAGAACACTTCTGCAAGACTATAACAGGTACGTTGTCGAGGTTACAAGCTGCAGATGAGTCAAAGCAGGAAATCGCTTTAGATATAGAAGCTGGAGTGATACAAATGTCAAGCAATGGATCAACCTGTTTGACGGCTATATCAGGTAGAACGCAACTAGTGGAATCAAGAGATGATATTGATGAAAAGTTCTTACCAAACAATTCAGCTTCGTCTTTAGTTGAGGTGACAAAGTCTGAACAATACAAAAGAGGTGGAATTACAGACTTATTATTTATACTGTTAAAGATTCTCCAGAAGTCATGAGAGCCTAATTTTTGTAATGAAATACGATATTTCATGACTTGAGAATAGCTGGCTTTAGCATTAGGCAAAACCTTTTTACAATGGTTTCTAGCAGTAATAAACAGGCGTCTTTTATCTGGAGAATTGTTTTGCTGATAGATATGGAAGTAATGGTTTCGATTGACAATTGCAGCAGCACAATGTGAGGAAAACCATGGAGAAGAGTGGAGTTTGACTTGGAATCACAGAGATGAAATAAAGGATTCCATGCCAGCTTGAATCCACAAAGTTATGCAAGAAGTACATTTGTTATCAGGAAGATCAAAAATTTATCCAAGGACCATCACAAAGAAAATCACGGAAAGAGTCCCAGTCAGCTTTAAGGTAGTTGTAAGATGTACAATGATAGGGGGATTCTGATGATAAAGAAGAATGAGATCAAACTGTGTTTTAGAGAGATCAAACAGTGATCAGAGGCACCTAAGGGTGAATGTGGAGAAACGGAGCACTGACTAGGATCAGAAATAAGACATAAGTCGAGTAGAGAAGGTAAATGATTTGGGTTGTCTGGAAGGCAAATTGGAAAGTTGACTATTTGAGTTAGAGATTGAGAAAGACAAAAGTTGTGGGCTTTAATGCCTGCATAGTCATTGACACTATAGCCAAGCTATTCAGTGTGATGAACATTAAAGTCACCAACAACAACAATATTGGCTCATGGATAAAGAGAGAGGACTTGGTCAACATGATCAGAAATAACATCAAGAAGAGTGCAGTGTTGAGATAAAGAAGAGCGATATAGATCAAAGAGAAAGGTGATAGAGTGAAGTGGTGCTAAAAAAAAAGCATAAAAGAGTAGTCTGTGGATTAAAACCTAGTTTCCGACAAATGGATGAGTTTTTTACGAATGTAAATGCCTAGGCCAAGTATGTGACTATTGGAGTCTTTACGAATTAAAGGAAGATAACCATTAACACTAAGATCACAAGATGAGACAGCTGAACTCAAATTAGTCTTACAAAGAACAAGTAGGTCTGGTGAACTTTGCGAGAGATAAGACTCAACAGAAGAAAAGTTACTTTGAAGATCACAAATATTAGTGAATGATAGGTTTAGCGAACTTGGTGATGACGATGGTTTTTTTGTGTTTTATAGTTTTTGATACTTAAGTCGTTTTTAAATTTGTTAAAGAACTTGACTCAAAGCATAGATTGTACTCAGTACACTGTTTTATTGCCCTAGCAATTGCCTCATTACTATTTATAAACCCTAAGCTGTAACAACGCGCTCCAATGTGGCCTTGGCAATCCACACCAAAAGTACAAACAGAGACACCACTCATGCGCAACATGGGACTGTTAAAACTTTGATATTGTTTGATATTTTTCAGCTGTGGATGGAATTAGCCTCTCTGAGAGCTACCACAGAGTTTGGGAAACCTGACTACCAGCCGGTCTCAGAACCATAAAACTGAGTTTTAGAGCTGTACCCTCATTAGGAGATAATAGAATGAGTTGCCTAGTCATAAAAACAGAGACACAAGCAAAACCTACACATCGAGTCAAGAAAATCCAGCATTCAACATCCTAAACTGGAAACAATGTATTAAAAATGCATCTGCGCCAGCCTAATAGATGAAGAAAAAGTGTGAGGCTGGTCAACAGATAGAATATGTTTACTCTTTAAGTTTTTGCCTAGGAGGCCTTCTACAAGACAACCGGAGCATTTAATATCTACCCAAAAAGCCTTTACTCAACAAAGAGCCCTAAGGCAGGGGATGTTTTATGTTAGAGTTGGCATCTCCTAGCTTTTGCCTAAAAAAAGCGTATCCTACAAGGCAGCAGGACATAAAGCAGATTGCACTGGGTTACATGTTACCAGTAGCAGGATAACCTGACCTGACCTGAATATATTTATACAACCCTGGGAATTAGGAAAAACGAGGTCGGCAATAATTTGCCGAACCATCTTTTTTAAATCGGCATCATGTCCGCAAAAATTATTTGATACAATGGTCAATCCAAAAAACATAGAAAAAAGTATATATATACTTTATATAATATATATATATATATATATATCAGAGCTGGAGACTCGAGTCAACCGACTCGAACTTGTGTCCAACTTAAGTCACACCAGTGACTCGACTCGAGACTCGACTTGGGTTTTACCCTAAGACTTGCGACTTGACTCAAGACTTGATAACTTTGGCTTAGCGACTTTAAAATTATTATTTTCCGTCTCTTCAAAAATGGAGCAATTTATCTTCTATTTTAATTCAACTGTTTTTTAACTATTTTTTATTTTCAAATGTTTTTATTTTAACTTATGTTTAACTGGTTTGTAGTCTAAGCGAGATCCGAAGAAAAATATTGCATTTTCGTTTTCAAAAAAGGCTCTTTCGTTTTCAAAAAATTCCAACTTTTTTGTGTGCGTTCTGATTGGTTCATTTTTTCTTTAACTCATGAAATTTATTGTTTATAAATGTTCGGTGATTTTAATTTCTTATTTAAATTTTTTATAATTCTTTCTTTTTCTTTCCTTAACAATCTTCATTTTTCTCTTATTTATTTTTACTTTCAAAATTATCTATTATTATTATTATTTTTTCATGTAATTTATTTAAAAAATTCATTATAAAAAAGCGTCCGCCATTCCGGAAGTCTTTGCACTGCTGTTCTAACTTTAAGTATTTAAAATTGTGTTTGCTACTAATTTCGGCAATTTGTAAAGTTTCATAAATTATCTTAAAACTATGAGTGCTATAAAAATTCAAAAAACGCCTGCAGTACCTGGAATAATTAATTTTGGTTATACTGAGTTAGAGAAAAAAAAAAGAAAAAACTAGATCGGCACAATGTAAATTTTGTCAAGCTTTAATTACCGATGGAGTTGCGACTACAAGCAACTTCATTTGCCATTTAAAAACACATCCAGGAAAATATGAATTATATCAAAAGTTTTTTCAGACAAGACCAACAGCTGCTTCACCAGACCAATCTAAGATTTCAGACTTTCAAGCAGGTTATTTACTTAAAATAATTTGTTTTCATTTTATGAATGAGAATGATATTGAATAAGAATGATATTGCATTTATTATTTGTAGTTGCTTTGGGAGAGAGTTCTATGACAACATACTGCCGCACCCACCCCAAGCAACAAAGAATTTTGGTAACAAACCTTGGTGTAACAGCGCATTACATACATAACTATCACTGTCACACAAGACTGTTGGCATGCAATAGGTTCTTAGGTGCTCACACTGGTGATAACATAGCAGAACATTTTGAATCCATTTGTCCATTGTCCAATCCAAGAAGAGAGGTTACAAGACTAAGCTGTTTTGCTCACACCCTACAATTAGTTGTTGGCGATGGTCTTAAAGAGGAAAAATTTACTCCGCTCAAGCTAAAGCATCCAAAATATGCACTTTGATTCATACTAGTACAACATTTAAAGAGGCTTTTCATAAAATGTTTGGCTCCAAATAGGGTATTCCTCGAGTAAATGCAACAAGATGGAATTCCACATTCCGTCACATAAAAAGCGTTGTCAATTTAGATGAAAAGAAATTGAAAAACCTACTTGATGATTTAAGTCACCGCAATCTAATACTAAATGAAAGAGAATACATGCAACTTAGAGAGCTCATTGATTTATTGCAACCATTTCTTGAAGCCACCGATATGACTCAAGGTGAAAAAAATATAACAATTTCATTAGTAGTTCCCTCTATCGTTGGGCTATATAGTCACTTAGGACAATTTAATACAACTTATCTGTCCGGTATGAAACAGGTGTTGCGAAACAGTCTTCAAAAAAGATTTTCTGGTATATTTGCAAATGTTGACCTTATCCCATCAATAAATATTAAACTACCATTTAATGACTTGATATATATTATTGCCACAGTTTTGGATCCCAATTTTTATTTCTTTTGGACTGAGAAGCTATGTCATGTCAATCCAGGTCAAACAGACAACTTAAAGACAAATATTATTTCAAAAATTTGTCAATTCTGTAACAAGCAGTTTAGCCATACCAATGTAGCCATGGACGGAAAAGTCTTACCAGAAAACCTACCGTCTAAGAAGCCAAGAACTAATTCATTTTTGTACTCTTATTGTAGATCTACACCTGTTATTCAGACTGGAACTACATCACAACCACCTGTTAAAAGTTTTGATACTCAGTTTCATTGCTATGAGGAACTGGTAAATGAAGTGTTTGCATCTAATTTCAATATCCTAAACATAGATTGTCTCTAATTTTGGAAAATGCATGGGCAAAAATTACTAATTCTCCTAAGTGCTGCCATGTATACTTTTGTGGTACTTGCAAGCAGTGCTCCTGTTGAAAGGGTATTCAGTCAGGGTGGCCTGATTATGAACCCTAAGTGTGCAAGTTTAAATTCTGACACTGTTTGTAAGTTAGTGTTTTTAAAATGTAACAGGTATATATTACTAAAATTTTTTATGAAAATCAGCATTTGTAATCTTTTTTTCAAAAGAATGATAGAATAAAAACATTAGTAAATCGACTAAATAGCTTATGAAGTGTTATGTCACTGTACTGTGTATTATGACTCCTTAGCTATTTTATTACAGATGGTTTATTTTACTTTTAAAGCTACTTTAGTAAATAAAGTAAAATTACAACTATTATCATGCTGTATTTTATAATTGTAAGGTGACTGTTTGAATGTAGCTACCAGAGCCATTGCAAGGGTAGCTACATTCATATGCCCCTCTTGTACAAGGAATTTCGTGGTTTTTATGACAGGTTTTGGAAGGGGCTTCCGAACTCCTAGCCGCGTCACTGATAGCCACCACATGCACGGGAATCTTTTATTGTAATATGACTTGACTTGGGACTTGACTTGACATGTCACTATATGACTTGTCAAGTCAAGTCCCAATGTATATATACATATATAAGTCATCAATGTATATAAATATATATATATATATATATATATATATATATATATATATATATATATATATATATATATATATATATATATATATATATATATATATATATACATGCATATCATATATATTTATATATCTTTAATTGTGTGTGTGTGTAAAATGAATAAAGCAAATAAATAAACCTTTTCATTTTTGAACTTAACTTTTGAACCATAGCTTCTTTTGTGCAAATGAAGTTCATCTTCTGAAGATTCACTAGACGTCAGCTGAATATAAAATAAAACTTTAATGATGAATATATCCATATTAGAAACCAACTCTATAAAGTTCTTTAAAAAATATTTTTTAATACTTTGTAATTAAATTTTGTAATAGTATTTAACTTTTTAAATTAAATTCATTAATATAATTATATCCGATAATTAGCAACAACATATGTTTTGCAACTTTACTGCTAATATACTTTATTGAAAAAAAAAAAAAAATTAAATTTTTTTTTTACAAAGTTGATGCAAACACTGTAATTGTTACAATGACCTGTTTGTATCAACTAGAAATTGTGTGTTATTATTTCAAATGTCAATTATAACTAAAAAAATTCAAGTGCAAAAAATCGATTTTTATACAATGAACAAATTTGAAAATTTTATCAACTATTTAAAAAAATACTTTTAAAATAAAACATTTAAATAAAAATTGCACTTTGAATTAATCCTGCTTGTATGAAAATTACAAAAAAACACTGCTTGTATAAAAAGTAGTTGCTTCTGTAATTCAAAAAATTTAATTTCAGGTAAAGCTTGTATAGAAAATCTCAATTTATTGTCTAGTAATTGTCTCAGTAATCAACATAAGATTATTTGTACTAAAAAACCATTCAAATTGTCTTCAAAATCTTCAGATGCTTTTACAATTCTATAATTGCCTAAGAATGAGATGAAAGTCATTTAAAGGCATCGTTGAGATTCCTTAAAGCATCATAAACCATGTTAATATATAATAAAACTTAAGAATCAAGATCAACAATAAACTTATCAAACGCATGGAAGAATAAGTTCAAGCACCAATTTCTTATCAATTGACCCCAGTTTGATAACACATTAAAGTATAAAGCACATACACATTTAAAAAAAATCTTGTGACCAATGTATTGAGACAGATTATAACAAAGACTAACACAAGATTGTGATAGAATATGCTGTCAAATAAGACAAATCAATACAGCAAAATATAGACAAATCAATACAGCAAAATATAGACAAATCAATACAGCAAAATATAGACAAATCAATACAGCAAAATATAGACAAATCAATACAGCAAAATATAGACAAATCAATACAACAAAAAATAGACAAACCAATACAACAAAATATAGACAAATCAATACAACAAAATATAGGCAAATCAATACAGCAAAATATAGACAAATCAATACAGCAAAATATAGACAAATCAATGCAATAAAATATAGGTCTTTAGTTACTATTTAGACCTTTACTTGATTTTTTTAGTTTTTTAATGGTAGTTTTTTTAACTAATCGTTAAAAAACTAAAAAAATCAATCATATATAACCTGAAAAATTTAATAGTATTTACAAATAGTAATTCTACTAATCTGAAAGAAAATTAGAGACTATTTTTACATATAATTAATATAAATAATAATAGCAACAATAAAAATATAATAACTATATTAAAAGCAATGATATTAATAAGAAAAAGAAGAGAAAAAGAAAAATAGAGATCACAACAACAAAATAATCGAAATTTAAAAAAAATAAGGAACAAAATAGAATAAAATAAATATAATAAAAAACCTTAAACTATTTGATTGACAACATAACAAGAGAACTAAAAAATTGTAACATAAGATGCTTTTAGGTTGTTATAGCCAAATGCCCTAATTTCAAGGGATGCAGACAAATAAAAAACAAAAAAGATTTATCTACACAAGCTGTAGATACTCAATAAAAGGTATTAACAATATTTCACCGAAAAAAAAAAAAATGTTTACAAAACTAAAAAAATTAATTTTTATACCAAACTGACATAACTACAACAAATAACCTAAATAAAAAAATGAAAAAAAAAAAAAAATTAACTTGAAAATATAAACAAACAAATAATTTTAAACACAAAATGAAAGATGATAAAAATGTAAAAACTTTTATTTTCTTCTACAATAATTTCATTCTAAAATTAATCAAGTTTAACATTTTTGTTTTTTATTTTTTTTATTAGAATTTTTTTTTTTTTTCTTGTTTATTTTCATTCTCTTTTTTTCTTGCATACTTTGTTTTTTACTTGCTTTTTTTCTGTACTGCTCTATTTGAAACACTTTCACAAAACTTTTCCTAAGTTAAGCTTGCTAATTAGGGGTGTACTGAATCAGAAATTTTGAATTCCGGCTGGAACTGGATTTGCCAGAATTATGCTTAGGGATCATCTATAAGGTACATATGCTCTGGTGGGAACAGGGGATTTGCAAATGGTGCATATGAAATGGAAGGCTGAAAGAATTATAAAAGTAAGGAGACACTAAATTGAAAGAATATATCATAAAATGTTAGGTAGGTAGATTAAAAGCATAGGTACTTTTAGGGAGGCAAGGTGCACTCAAAAAAGCATATAGCAAAAGGCATTGGAGGAGGAGGAGGGGATGTTGAAATAACAAGCGGATGTATTTTATGGACAACTCCTTATATAATTTTTTACTTTCAAGACTGAAAGTGAAAACCTGCAACTCAGCATAGAGCCTACATAATATATATTTATAACCTATAATATATATATATATATATATATATATATATATATATATATATATATATATATATATATATATATATATATATATATATATATATTCCTATACTTTTTAATTGTTTAAATTTGTAAAATTTAAAATGAGACTATACTATTCTCAGAGTCAGGTAACATTTTTGATGAAAAAAAAAGCAAGTTTGTTGTCCAAAAGTAGATGGCAAATCCTTTTGTACTACAATAATCCTAAACTTCTAAAAATCGTTACATAATGGATTACTGCAAATAAAATTAAATAGTGTTTGTTAAAAATTTTGCATTTTTTACCTAGGTTTACCATAGTTCTTCATTGTTCTGTGGACAATGATTTTTTTATTTAATTTATAGTCTGTGTCACATGTCTTATAAAATAAAGGCCGGAACAGAATTCCGGTACATCTCTATTGCTTATTAAATATGCTTTTTAAACGACTGGTAAATTTATATAACCGTTATAAAACATAATTGTTAAAAAAACTACTGCAAAAAAACATCCGCCATTACTTTTTATATTCTGCTTTTATCTATTTTTCCAAGTTCATTTTAACCACATTCAAGCCACGTATGCTACAATATAGTTCAAATGAACTTTTTGCTTAGCCAATTAATCTGGATGAATAATTGATTTTTGTTTTTAAAAACCATAACATTTTGTAAAGTATTAAAAACTTATACACAAAAATTCTTCGTGGTTTTTATTATATAATCATAATTAATATATGTGCTATTTTTACTTTCACATAGTATTGTGAATGGCCTTAATGGGACCTAATTCCTATATATTTAAAAAAAAAAAGAAGTGGATTGAGATTAAAGATTAAGATCACGACCAAAATCATCATATTTATATTCTTTTTGTTAGAAGAAAAAAAAAAGTGATGGAAAAAACATAGGAATGGCATTATTTTGAATCAGGCTTTATAAATATTATTTAAAATATGGAAATAACTTTTTGTTTAAACTAACACAAGGCTTTTAAGTTTTTAAATTTTAATTAAATCTATAAAGTTTTCTACAGTTTTTAAATTTTAATTAAATCTATAAAGTTTTCTACAGTTGTTAGGAGCAGTATTTTTACTATGTTCATTTTTATTAAAATTATAATTTGGTATATATATTTATAATAACTATTATTTCATGTATTTATATAAACTATTGTTTATACAAATATTATATAAACAATACAATATTCATCATATTTTATAAATATTTCATATTATTGTATTTTCCAACATTGCTAACACTTCAAGCGAGTCATTGCGAAAAAAAAAAAAAAAAAAAAAAAAACATATTTCTGAAAAAAAAATTTACCCTTAAATATAAATATTGAACAATTTTTTTTAATTTCTTCATTATATTTATAGTAAATATTTTAATAAATTTATACTTTTAATAAATATATCAAAAATAATTCAAAATGTCTTAATTACTTACATAAACCTTTTTAACATTTTGTTGTAATTTTTTTTTTTTTTTAGAAAAATCAGAATCACAGTCTTTATAGTTTCTTTTGTAAATTCTATTTCTGCTCTGAAGATCTTCTTGAAGCTAAATAAAGTTATCAACATTAAATTCAAACAAAATAATGAAAAACTGTTTAAAAAAATAACAACTATGGTGGAGGAGATTATGTTGCTAAATAAAGAACTAACTTGATGAAGAAAAGCATGATAAACAGTTAAATCTAAACATATTGCAAATATAAAACTTTGAGATGTATATTTTGTGTTGTGCAAAATTTAAAATAAATAGAATAAATTATATAAAACAAAAAAACTATTTTATCATGGGTTCGATGGTGGGGCACATAATAAATTTATTTTCTACACTAATTATTACAATTATTAAATAATGACCATGAATATGGGTTGTATAGGCTTGCCTAGCAAGATCTAACAGAACCTATACAACAGCTGATTTAAATAACACTTATCCCTGTCTAGTTTCTGTGGCTCATATATATATATATATATATATATATATATATATATATATATATATATATATATATATATATATATATATATATATATATATATATATATATATATATATATATATATATATATATATATATTATATATATATATATATGAGTCTTTATTGATGAAACAGTGTAAAATGAACAAAAAATTTTATTAAGTGATTTTCTACTAATTAATAATTGCTCTGTTCTTTTAAGAACATTTAGCACTCTATTTTGTAGAATACAGTTTTAAATATATATATATATATATATATATATATATATATATATATATATATATATATATATATATATATATATATATATATATATATATATATATATATATATATATATATATATATATATATATATATATATATATATATATATATAAAGGAAATAGTACAGAAAAAACATCATATAAATATTAGAAAAAGTAGAAAAATTTTGATTTATAAGAAAAATAAAAAAAGTAAAAACCAAACTTAATTATTTTAGAAAAAAAAAGAAAACATCTAAACACAATAATCACCTTGAGCTGGTAAATAATGAGGTCGTAGAAATTAAATTAGGCACTTTTTTAGGAATTAGCTCCCTCAACCCAAGCAAGCTACAAGAATTAGAACTACACTTTGGTGAGAAAGCACCAGATCTTGTATTTATCACCAAGATGTGGTGCAACAAAGATCTAGTATCTAATATAAAACACTCAGATTCACAGAAACAGAGGCAGTTGAGAATGAGCAATTTACATAAAATCAACTTTAGTATAAGGCACAAGGATATATTATCATTTTATTCCTATTATTTCAAAAACATAAATTATAAATAAACAAGTACTGATGCAATTTCTAAAGTAAATGACTAAAATTAGTAGATAGTAATAACTAAATAATAACTCATTAAAAATAAAAGATTTCATTAAACATTAAAGAAAAAATTGTAAAAAACTGCATGTTCTTATCATGGATATTGATGGATAGAGATTACTGAAACTGTAAGTAAGCTTGATATCAAAGTTATAATAATAAAAACTACCCAGTTAAAAAATTCTTTTGGTCAAATAAAGTCAATGATTACTAGGAGAGGTTGACTGAAACATATACAACAAAACCAAATTAAACCTAAAATTTGTGTATACTGTTTTTTAATACTGAAACCCAAACCAAAATATCAGCAAATATTTTACTAAAACTAATACAAAAATTTTGGCAGAAGTGGGTCAGTAGTACGTGGTACTACCAAGGAAGTTGTAGGGATCAAAATTACTCAAAATTACCTACTCAAGGCGCAGCAGCCTTGTTTGTTAAGGATCGTGTTTAAAATTCCGATAATAAAAATTAACCAGTTAAAAATGGTTTTACAAAGTTGAGAGAAGGTTGTAACCACAAAATAAAGTAGCCTTATCAATTGTAGTGGCCTTCATGGCCTCGGGGAGGTAAATTAACACACACACACACAAAAAAGGATAGTGAGTTCTCAATAATAAATGAAATGAAAACCTAATAACTATTTAGAGCTTGGGATTAACAAAACCACAAGATATTTTTTCTTCAAAAAAAATTACAATCAATTTACTTGGTGACCCTAGGTACATTAAATGAAACTTATATCTTATAATGGAGACTGTAATATTCTTTCAAACCCAACTTTTTTGACAAAATCTTTCCATCTTAGATTATAATAAAGAGTATTATATTTCATAAGTAAATAATAAAAATAATAAAATCATTCATAGAAAAATCTATAAAAATAACTCAAAGCTTACTCCACAAAATTTTATCCTGCTTTGCCCTCTATTCAACAATTTAAACCAAATTTTTTTTTAAAAGGAAATGTTATCAGATGTGCAAAACTCAAAATATCAGTGTAATGGTTTCACTATTTGCATTTTTAATATTTTGAAAAAGCAAATAGACATGTGGTATTAAAGAAATAAAAATTAAATAATTAACATTTTTAATTTTTTTCAGAAATAAAAAAATATTTTGTGAAAATTGCCCATAAAAATAATTTTTCTTAAGTAAATAAAAAATTAAAATCATTCAATTTAAACTTGGGTTTTTAGGATGTTTTTTAACAGAAATTTTTTTTTTAATTAAAAAGTATCGAAACCAAAATTTCATTGTCGACTTCAATTAAACTTATAACCAAAACTATAACATTACGGTACTAATTATAACCACTAATTCTAGGGTCTAACCTGAAGTTATATACCTAATTTCTATATCTTCAGCAGATTGTTTATATAGCAAATCTAATATAGATTTAAAGAACAAAAGCAGTTACCTACAAAGTGTGTAAATATTAGACATTAAAGATTGTGGATTATTATGAAATTGTTCATTTAAAAAGAAAGTTAAAACTGTTTTTTTTTCTTCTCTTTAACTGCAATTAAATTGAAGGGAAATATTGAAAACACAATCCTCTATGTTTATGTTAGCTTTATGTAGTAAAAAAGTATATGAATGCCATAATATCCTAAAAACACCTTTTTTAGGATATTATGGCATTCATATACTTTTTTTTTTTTTTTAATTTTTAATTTTGTTTTATTACTTTATTAAAACTTTTATAACTTTTATAGTTCTTTATAACTTTTTTTTTTTTTAATTATATTTTTATATATAGAATAAACCATACTACTTAAACATAATCTAACTTTTAACTTTACTTCAAAAATATAGGTAGAATCTTGTAATGTGTTCAAATAAGAATTAAAAAAAAAAAATGATACCCTTGCAATTTCGAATTCTTGTTCTCTATTTAAATTTCTATAATGATCCATCATTCTATCTGCAGTTGAAAGAATTTCTGTAGTTCTATTTAAAGATTCAGTTAAATCACCTATTCGATCTGTAACATCACCACTTAACATTTTAATTTAATTATCTAAATATAGAATTTTTAAATAAAACTTAGTAGTAGTTATATAAACATAAAATAACTAGCAAGGGAAAAATAATAGTAATTGATAGTATTAACAAATTTAACTTATAACACATTACATTGATCTATATATTTTTTAAACTCATTGTACATAAAATTTTTATGGACTATGTTATCGTTATTTTGCATATTTTTGGATTCATTTTTAAATAAAACTATTATTTTAATTAAATAATAATTTTATTTAGAAATAAAAACTATTACTTTAACTTCAGTTTTATTTGAGTTTTTAAGAATTTATTTATGGAAAACATTTTTATTATTATTATTATTATTATTATTATTATTATTATTATTATTATTATTATTATTATTATTATTATTATTATTGTTGTTATTACTATTATTTTTAAATTTGATTGGTATTAAGCTGGTTTTGATGAAAGTAAAGGTATAAAGTAGTTCAGTAAGTATATTGATATTTTTATGCTGAAAAATACATTTTTTGAACTTATAATCTATACAAAATCTGTAAGCATAAAATAAATATAAAATTATTTTTACTTAACAACCCAAAAAAATATAGACAAGTTGTATGATTTTAGAAAATTTTTTAGAAAAATCAAATTTTTACTTGGTGAATTTAAATAACAAACAATTAAAAAAAAAGTAAAATTAATTTTTGTTTATAGTTATGACAGTTTCTTCAAGTAACATTTTAGCTTTTAGTCTTATGTATTGAAACTTGTCGCACAAAATTATGGCTTTTTAACACGATTTGTTTACAATTTTCAATTCAAAAATTTAAATTTGTTCTAATTTCTTACCGCGATTACCTCCACTATTTTACAGAACTGTGCCGTAATGTGTTTGTTTGAAAAAAAAGTCCCTTCCCGCAAAAATTTCGAATTACCCCACTAACTTTTAAATTGAGGTTACAACTAAAAAAAATAATACTTAGTAAAATAATATATAATATTTCTATCTTTTTTTTCTTTTGTATCTTAATTTGTAATTGTTTGCTTTTTTTCTAAAAACTTCAAAATTTTATTCAGAAAATTTTTTCTGAAAACTGAAAAATGAATGGGGGGGGGGGGAGGGGCAAGTGCTCCTGCTGCCCCGGTGCTACAGGCCTGCTTTTCACACAGTATTATTTACTCATTTATATTATATAAAAAATTCAACTAAAAAATCAAATAATTTAAGAGTACCCCGCTTTAAATAGTCAAGTGGTTTTCATTATTTTAACTTCTGTAAATGTAAGATTGATACAATAAGCACTGATTTAAAAAAAAAAAAAAAATCAAATATCCATTATATTTTCTTTTCGTCCTTGAAAAGAAGCTCATTTAAGGTGGTTCTCCACTATTTAAAGTATTATTTGAAGCTGCGCGGGGTCTTTGACTTTATTTTAAAAGTCTTTTATAAGTCTACACTCTCTCGGCGCAGTCCTTCGCAGCTTGACAGTACTTAACAACATTTTTCACATAGTTGTAATCTTTTATCTTCATCCAGTGCTCAACAGGCAATTGCATCCAATATACCTGGCTTGCAGTCATCTTGATTAAGTTAAATAGTAGCTAGGAATGTTGACCAATTAAAAAGACAAAGAAAGAGATGTTGTCGCCTTCGACTTTTGGGAAAGATGGTTTTCCAGGCTTCATTACTTTTTTGGGTGTCGCACAACTTTAGTGCCATAGCAGATCTTTCAATAAGCGGAATGTCCTCATCAAACATCGTAAAGATAACTAACTCTTTAATTAAATAAAACAGTTGTCTGTTGCATGACTGAATGGCTGCATCAGAAGCAATTTTATCTGTATTACGGTACCACTGCATATCAACGATGTACTGACAATCAACATTGGATACAATAGCTTGGATGCGACTTTGTAAAAAAGTTTTTGCGTGAAACAGAGCAAATAAATTAGCCATTATTTTTAATTTATAATGTTGATCCGGGTTAACTTGTCAGGTTTTAAGATGTACAGCTTATTGTGCATAAATTTTGCGCGAGGTTTTTTGAAGTTAAGTTAGGTCCGTTATGACTTCTATTAACTGCATCATAGACATGAAGAATATGCAGTTTGTAAACATAATGGTGACAAGCTGTTCCCAAAAGTGCATGACCTACTATTTTCTCAACGAGTGTTGCACATCCAGTTTTCCATCTAGTGTTACTAGAAGTGATGTCAAAAATTAGGGCAATCAAATTATCTAACAGTTTCCAGGAAGAAAAATACATTACAAAGGCATCTTCATAGGCGGGACCAGTAGACAAGGATTTCAAGAACTTTTTTGTTAGCATCGTTTGATGACCCATCCCAACCACTAGCCAGAATAGCAACATGTTCCTCTTTCTTTCCTACATACAAAAAATGTTTGTTTTTAAATATTTTAGTATTTTTCAATATTTGCATTTCAAAACGCTTAAAACAGTATGTAAGTAATAAATTAAACATCCGTTCACCAGTAAGTGACAAAACAAGCTTTGAATCCCAGTGACCGGATGAATGAAGAGGGCGCTTTTCCTGATATTTCTCCTTTATTTGAACACATTGTTTTTCGTATTCTACCCAACGGTTACGGTGAATTAATGATTGCAAGATTAGAAAATAATGTAACGAACTACCGCAAACTTTGGAAAATAATGTAACAAACCACCGCAATTTTTTACGATGTTGCTTCAACAGCCATTTGATCTCTTACGCTGAGGCCTATTCGGTCGGAGTCATCAGTGAATGATTTTGTTAAGGTTGTAGGATCAACGGTTGACAATCTGGTTTTTCGTTTTAGCTGGAAGGGAGTGAAAACTTTGACCTCAGATCTGCTTGACTTATCCGCACTTTTCTCAATGATTTCTTCTATTTCTAGATCACTTAAAAGTGTTTTTTTTTTCTTTTAGCTGTGTGGTGCGGTGCGGTGAGTATTGACTCTGTTTTCAAGGCTCTCATTGCAATCCAACTCGTTATTCTCTCGCTGCGCATGAACTGCATTGCAACCAATCATCGAAACAACCTAATTGGAGGTAAACAATACAATAACATATAATGAAAACAATTACCTTAAGTAAACAAATTACAGTAAGATGGTTGAAATAATCCATAAAATTACCTGTGGATTCTTCCGTTGGTTCAGTAAAAAATTCCAGTCCTCCTTTCAGGTGGCAAGTCGAGATGCATGTAATTTGTAATACATGTGAACGGCTAATAAGTCACAGATTTGATTCATTAATTCAAAAAATTAAGTTTTTTTCTTCTCGAGGCAATTTTTTTGCTTCTTCAACACACTTTACCATTCATTAAAAACTACGATGAAATACTCAATGCACTTGTAATCTGGCTTTACTTTCAAGTGAGCTCTTTTCCAAATTTCTTGTAATTCAATCAAAATATCTGTAAGTATAATAAAAATGATTTTTTGCCCACAATGTAATTCACCTCTTCTCTTTTTGATTTCTCAAAAGATATTTCTTTTGAGCAAAGCAATTTTAAGGGAAAGTTTTACACAGACACTTAAACTTTTTTCTATTCCAAATCCAATAAAGTAATCTTGATGATGTTTTTTTGATATCTTTAACGCTTATCATCAATACTAGTTAAATCTAATAACTATTCTCTTAGAAATACGAGGAGCTGATAGAATGATTGCTGATCTAAAGGAGATATTTTGCATGTTTTATGATGTTGTGCGCGTACAACAGCTGTTCTTACTTTAGGACCTGCGTCTGGTTGACTCAGCACTTTTTTAACTTTTTGTTAATAGAAACAATTTCTCCCCCACTTGTGAGATTACTGAATATAGCTCTGGCATCCAGGCTTCTTACTCTTTTGAAAGAGTAAGAAACTACCCGGAGTTTGAGGAGCTCTTTTCAATTCATATGTAAGTAGTTTAACTTTATATCCATGTTTTATATTGAGAAAGTCAACGCACTGTTGCAGTGCTGCTGCAAGTGTCAGTTCAGTGAATCTTCTTCAGTTGATCCAACGGTGGTGGATGCATTATGAAAACTTGTTGCATTTAAAACCTTTCACTTCTAAGATTCACACCAGCATTATCTCTGAGATATATCATTGGCGTGACGCTATCTATCACACCAGCATTATCTCTGAGATATATCATTGGCGTGACGCTATCTATCACACCAGCATTATCTCTGAGATATATCATTGGCGTGACGCTATCTATCTAAAGTAATAATAATGAAAAAATATATAAAATATATAAACACTACGCATAAACATCCGTAGGGCAATTATCTGTTAAGGTATTTGGTCACTTGATAATATTACTATAAAAGTCTTTGTACTTGGTAACATATTGTTTAAGATTTTTTAAATTAGCAGTTTTTTTTTTCCATTAATAGGGACTTTGTATAATAGATAGTTTCTTTTATATTGGCAAATCGGGTAGAATGTCGGTAAAGTTGGTCAAACTAACATATTCATGGTAAAACCAATTATTCCTTCCTTTTTTTGTATTTTTCCAACGTTGGTCGTATTATAGTCAAACTGCACAAATTTCAATACCTGGAAAGAAATTCTAGCAAAAAATACCTCTTCCAGATGTTTCAAAGAAATTCTTTTTTTTTTAATACATTTTTTGCCACCATGACTTAAAGGAAAGAATATCTGTAGCATTAATCACCTGAACAAAATGTATTTAGCTTACTTGTACTCGTAATCTCGTCATCAAATTGCTTTTTCCTACCAGGGGTTGTTTAAATGAATTACTCTGGTAGGAAAAAAATGTTCTATGTTTTAAAAGACCTTGCTATCTGCTAAATTACTTAAAAATATTAGTATTGTATAGTTTTTGTTCCGTCTACCACATAAATATTACTAAATAAAAAAAAGGTTTTTTACTGATGGTGACAACTTGTTCTTCATAAAATCAAGTAAAAATGTGCAAAGTCTATCTGGGGTCTTTTCTCTCTAACAGTCTTTTCACTCTAAGTTTTTTCTCTCTATCTTTTCTCTGCTTTGCAGTGTCGGTTTTAGCCACAGACACAT